CACCTGGGATTTAGCATTTAAACATCTAGATCAATGAACATGTGGTTAAATCAGATGTAGAGGGGACACAGGCATGTCCTGTGTATTCTGAAAACTATCCACAATAAGTACATCTGCATATGTGTGTGTGTGTGTGTGTGTGTGTGTATGTTTATACTACCCGACTATCTCGGGGAAAAATTAATCACAATTTTGTCTCAGTTATACTTAGAACTTAAAAGTACATCAACTAAAAGGACAATTCCTTAGCTATATAAATCAACTGTGAAGTAGGAAATGAGGCTTAGGTATAAACGTGCTACTTACTACTCTTCCTATCTTCTTATTTGGAAATTATGGGGCTTATTCATCATGTGGACGCCGGCCTCCACCAAGGCCCGGACTCCCACTTGCGGTGAAGCCAAGAGGCTGCCTGGTTGTTAATTTTGGTTTTGTCTCATGGTTTGCCTTGGGGTCCGAGCTGTTTACATGGGCCCGTAAGCTTCCGAAGGGTAGGGACTGCATCTGTTTAACATGGTTTATAGAGGTTCAAGTGCTCAGTAAAGATTTTGAAGCCAGTGGTTTGTTTTCGAAAACCGCCTATATTTGCAGAAGCTGCTCGTGATGTTGCGTTATACAATGAACTGTATTACGTCAAGTGGCTGGAGACTTCACGCGACCTACGTACTCAGATGAGGGGAAATGTCATCTAGAAGCAGTCTTGTCAACGCGTACTTAACGCAAAACAGTAGTTGTCCGCACCTGACAGAAACAAAAATCTAATTCAAATTGCTTTGCGTTCTGAGGGAGAGTGAGATCTAATAAATATGTGTGTTAACTTTTGGCATTTGTTTGGAAAGCTGCTTTAAGAAAAAGGAAGTCTAAACAAAGTTTGGGGTGGTGATACAGGGTAACTTTCCTCTTCGCTTTCCCTCCTACTTCTCGCCAGGGTGTTGGGGAAAGCAAGCCGGCCAAGCACGCTCTGGGAAGCTGCCTCGTGCTGGAGGGAACCCACGCCTTGCAGCTCTTATTTCAACAGAAACTGTCACTTTTCTCCTGGACAAGATGCGCTGCGACTTGGTTTATCCCAATCCGTGTCTTAAGCGCTTTTTGGCACATCTTACTAAGCATCGGCCATTTTCTCAGTGATACCCATGGGCAGCACAGGGACGAGAGATTCTTTTCGAGGTACCCTGCCCCTGCCTTACTTTCTCAAGTGGCTTCAGGGTGGGGACTTGTCTGGCCCCCTCAGTGCCGGAATCCCCAGTGGGAGATTCCACTGCACACAGTGGGGGCACAGCTAACGCAGTCTGAATGAATGCGTGTCAGTCTTTGGGGAAAACAGGTTTTTAGGTGACCATCTTTTAAAGATTAATAGGCCTCAGTAAGTCTCAAAAGGTTTAGAACCACCTTGGGTTTTTTCCAGTGGTTACTACCAACACAGCTCTCCAGAAAGTCAGAAAATGGAAACTGATGCATTTGGACTCAAACAAACATCTGGACTTCTGTCATCTGAAAGGTGTTCAAAAGGCAAATGGCAGAATGAACAAAACCATTTTCAACTCAAATAACAGAAAGGTGTCCAAAAGGCCTTCCAAGGAGAAGAACACAACAGGAAAAAGGACACTGGGCAGGAGCAGGCACCACACGGAATAAACACTAACGGCAAATCAACGCGGGTCACCAAAGTGCTACCACACTTTGGTAGCACACTGTGAACAGTTACGGGACTGGAATCATGGGGACAGCAAGGTGGATGTCCCAATGCCTGAGCCTCCACGGGTGAGAGGACTGTGCTGCTACTGAGCCAGGAAGAAGCATCTGGAGTCACAACTGCTGTCCCGCCCCGCCCCGCCCCACCAAGGGGGTTTTGGGGTGGGGGAGAGGAGCTAGGGGCTGGGGAGACTCAGCTCATTTGGGAGCCCC